GTTTCAAAAAAAAAAAAAGAAACAAAAATATATAAGTAAAATATACTAGAACCTCATTTTAACACCGTTCTTCGAGTTACACAAAGTAGTGGCATGTCCACAAACAATATCTAGGAAATCACTTTAAATCCTTCATAGTTGGCAAGATATAAATAAATAGGCATAAGGTTAAGACAAATTACAATATGAAAATGAAAGTCATTTTCATAATTCTTATCACTAAACTGATATCGGGATAGAGACTGAGTATCCCAAATGAATTTGTATTTTGCCAAATTCTAGAAAAACATAGTTTTCCCCAGTACATACTGTGTGGACTACAGATGGCCATCACACTCCCATTAGGAGGTGAGATCTATATCCATTCCCTTTGAAACTGAGTGGGCTCTTTTGCTAATATGGTGGAATCAATGCTGCACCAGTTTCCTAGCCCAAGCCCTAAAATGTTAGCATCTTCTACTTCCTTATGCTTGGAATATTTTCTCTTGTAACCCTGAGCCAACATGTGAGAAGTACAATCACAATGTTACAGAAATTGATGCAGTTTCTGATGTAGTCAGCCCCTTCACTAGATTCACGGTAAGGACTCCCCTCTACTAGACCCACTGCACCCAACCCCATGTGGGAGGGAGCACATGGGTGAGTCAGTGCAGATTTAGCTGGCTGCTCCAAGCACCAACACAGGAACAAGTTTTGTGTGGGGCCCACAGTCAGACCAGGCACAAGCAAGCAAGTGCAGGACCCAGCCATCTGCTCCAGGCATAGACACAGAAGCAAACTCCATGTGGGGCCCACAGCCAGATCAGGCATGTTGCCTCAAGGGGAACGTGGCAGTGCCCAGGTGAGGGTGCCCACAACCCAAAAGCCCCAGGGGAGGTGTTATAGTGCTCCTTTAGTTCCGCCGTCAGACGGCAGTGTGTTAGCAGCTCAGTTGGCTTCTGGCCTTGTCACCTGGGGCAGCTGCTCTCCACCAGTAAGGACAAAGTGCCAGTGTGGCAGCTTTTCTGGGTACTGACACTCGGTGGGTCCCAAGCTCTTGTCTGGCATCCAAGACGAATGAGGTCAGAGGGATGGTTAAAGATGGTGAAGGCGATAATTTTATTAAGCGACGAAAACAGCTCTTAGCAGAGAGGGGAGCTGGAGAGGGCAGAGAAAGGGCAGGTCGTCTTCCCCAAAGTCAGGTTGTCTCTTCCTCTAGTTACTGAGTCTGGGGTCTTTATAGTCACAGGATGAGGAGTATGTGCTGAATTGGCTTATGAGTATGCAAAAAGGCTGAAGTGAACACACTACCCAAAGGTGGGCATGACAGTGTAGAAAACCAATTAGGAAAGGGTAGGCATATATAAAATAGGTGTAGAGTGGGGATCAATCAGAGGAAAGCACACCAAAGAGGAGGACAAGTTCTCAATCTGGTCTAAGGATTTAACTTGTAGCTTGGCTTTCAGATTTTAAACTGTCTTCGACATGGAGGTGGGGTTTCTCCGGGTACCCGACCCTATCTGCCTAGGCATTTGGCTGCCTCCTGTCGCTATCAAAACCACATGGAGAGGTGTCCTGAGAATACATTAGGGACGCAGAGAAGCCCAAAAGAACCACTTAAATTCCTAACCCTCAGAATTGTGAACATAAAAATACATTGTTCAGTGTGGGTGGGGGGCAACCTCTTATTCAGCAATAAATACACTGGTATCAATACATAACCAACAAAACTAAAGGTGAACCAGATTACAAATACTGGAAATGCCCTTTAAATGCCATCATTCAGCCTACTAGGAAAGGTAAATCCTGAAGAATGTTTTTTACAATCACAATTAGCATTAATACATACCAGCTCATCTAAAAAAGCCTGCTTATTCTTCCTTTTTAGAATCTGCTGCAGTTGTTCTTCTTTTTGTATAAATAATCTTCTTTGTTCATTTTCCTGTCGTTCCACTTCTAAAGCTTCTTCCAGTTCTTCCTGTTCTCGAGTCTAAAACAAAAATTTATATATGGCATGGAATAAATTTGGGAGCCAAGAGCAATCATACACCACACTCTAATACCTTCTTTATTGGAAGCATAAAACACACTAAGTCACTTATTATTTAATAATGTAGCAATTCCATATCGAGGGAAATAGAATTTACTTTATTTCATGTAAACATGTTACTATTAAACAGAACAACTATTCTGTTATACCATACTAGTGGATTTTGCTATACTAAGGCCACTGGGAACATATTAAGGGAATTTGAGGGATGAGTTTAAAAAGATGACTAGAAACAGAAAGGTATACATAAAGATCAATTGGATTCAAGACTGACAATAGGAGGAATAGTTAGAAGTATATTCAAATAATCCAGATAAGAAATAAGAGCCCTATACAGTGGCTCGTGCCTGTAATCCCAGCACTTTGGGAGGCCAAGGCAGGTGGATCACAAGGTCAGGAGTTTGAGATCAGCCTGGCCAACATGGTGAAACCCTGTCTCTGCTAAAGATACAAAAAATTAGCCAGGCATGGTGGCACATGCCTGTAATCCCAGCTACTTGGGAGGCTGAGGCAGGAGAATCATTTGAACCCAGGAGATGAAGGTTGCAGTGAGCCAAGTTCATGCCATTGCACTCCAGCCTGGGCAACAGGGCGAGACTCCGTCTCAAAAAAAAAAAAAAGAAAGAAAGAAAGAATAGAAATAAGAGCCCTAAATACAGTAATAATCTAATTAGAGTAGGGATGAGGCTTAAAACATGAGTGATCTTCAACAGAATATAAACACTGACCAAATATGGATTGAACACTTAGATGAATGCTGGCACCATTCACTGAAACAAAGAACATAGTAAGAGACGAAATAGACTTTCATTAAAAAACTGTCAAGAGACAAAGAACATTATATAATGATAAAAGGGTCAACATATAGAAAATTATAACAATTATAAACAACTAAATATATAAAGCAAACTGACAACTAAAGGGAGAAATAGCAATATAGTAACAGTAGGAGACTTAACTCACATTCAATAATGGATGGAACTTTCAGAAAGAAGATCAATAAGGAAACAGAAGTCTTAAAACAACTTTATAGTTCTGTATATGTCTGTTAGTTGTTATTCCACTCAACAGCAGCGGAATACACATTCTTCCCAAGCACATACAGAACTTTCTACAGAATAGGTCACAAGTTAGGTCACAAAACAAGTCTTAACAAATTTAAGAAGACTGAAATCATACCAAGTATCTTTCCTGACCACAATGGAATAAAACCAGGAATCAATAGCAGAAGGAAAACTGGAAAAATTCACAAATATGCACATATGTGAAAATTAAACAATAAACTCAAAAAATCATTGGGTCAAAGAAATCAAAAAGGAAATTAGAAAATACCTCAGGTCAAACACAAACAAAAACATAGCATACCAAAACTCAAGGGATACAGAAAAAGCAGTACTAAGAAGGAAGTTTCTTGTGATAAACACCTACTTTAAAAGAAAAGAAAGATCTCAAATAACAACCTGGCTTTACGTCTCAAGGAGCTAGAAATTTAGTAACAAACTGAGCTCAAAGTTAGCAGAACAACGTATTAAAATAAATAACAAAGATTAGAGCAAAAATAAATAGAAAATAGAAAAAGAACAGAAAAAAAATCAACAAAATTAAGTTTTTTTGAAAAGATAAAATTGACAAACTCTTTGCAAGACTATGAAAGAGAGACTCAAAATCAGAAGTGAAAGAGGAAACATTACAACTGATGCCACAGAAATAAAAGGATCATGAGACTACTATGAACAATTACACACCAACAATTATACACTTCAGTTAATCTAGAAGAAATGAACAAATTCCTAGAAACATACAACCTACTAAGACCAAATTATGAAGAAATAGGAAATCTGAAAAGACCTAGAACTAGTATGGACACTGAATCAGTCATCACGCCTCCTAACAGAGAAAAAGCTGTAGTGGTGAATAATGCCAAACAGTTAAAGAAGAATTAATATCAATCCTTCTCAAACTTTTCTAAAAAATTGAAGAGAGGGACACTTCCAAACTCGTTTTATGAAGCCAGCATTATTACCCTGATGCTAAAACCAGACAAAGACACCACAAGGAAAAAAAACTGCGAGCCAATATCCCTGATGAACAAAAATGCAAAAATCCTCAGCAAAATACTTATAAACTGAATCTAACTGCACATTAAAAGGATCATACAACATAACCAAGAGGGAATTATCCTTGGGATGGAAAGACGGTTTGACATACAAAATCAATTAATATACATTAACAAAATAAAGAATTAAAATCACATAATCTTATCAATACATGCAGAAAAAGGCTTTGATAAAATGTAACGCCCTTTCATGATAAAAGTGGTGGCTCACATCTGTAATCCCAACACTTGGGGTTAATGAAACATTTTATCTATGCATACCTATTCTGCAAGTATCTTCTGATGTTCCCAGAGAAGGTTACTAGGCAAAGAGAGTAACATTAATGACATACTGATGCTCTCAGAAATAAGATACTTTTAAAGAAAGCTAGACTAGGTATGAATGGAATGAAAATGTAGTATCAATTCATTGAGAGTTTTACAGCAGGAAAGAAATGCTGATACAAAGCACTATAAGACTATAAGGAGGAAGTCTCTTCTAAATACAAGATGAAAATATATGCTATGTGATCCAAATATGCTTGTATCCTTTTCACTAATTACAAAATCCTGATAAAATATCTCAAACATAATTACCTCTGCTTTTCCCTACAACTAGAAAGTCAAACTGTACTATATAAATGATAGCTAAAGTGTATAAATTAGACAATTGATCCTTTGTATGCATACAATTCTTTTTTCTTTATAGAATACATTTTAATACATTTAATAATAATGACTCCTGAGATATTTTCTTTTTTTTTTTT